TGGACTCTCCAGTTTTAGTAAATAAACCCCTATGTGTCCGGCGGGATTCTTAATCTTAGACTGTGCACATGATCACAATTCCCGCCTGGTCTCAGACATTGGTGAGCATGCCTTGGCAAAGGTACCCGTAGTGCACAGGCGTGGTAGGCCCCGCCCAGAAAATGTCATCCCTCATATGACGCCCTCCCGGTCACGCTCCTCGAGCACACCCCTGACGGTGTGCAGCGTGCCAATCTTTCATCTGCTGTGTCCCATGGACACAGTGCTTCTCTGATGCATGTAAACAGCCAATGAAATTGGCTGTGTACCATGTGATTGGTTGTGTCCTATCACAGCCCATCGCAAGTGTAAACAAACAGTGGTAACTTGCTGTTACCACTTCACCTCCTCACACACGGATCCTGTGTGAGAAGCAGAAGGGGAACACTGAGTTACCGCATTCAGTACTGTGCACCACACTGCCGTGATTGCTTGTCACACTGCCGTGATTGCCTGTCACAGCTGCCGATCAGTGTACCTGTCACAGCTGCCCATCAGTGTACCTGTCACCAGCCCATCAGCGTACCTGTCACCAGCCCATCAGCGCACCTGTCAACAGCCCATCAGCGTACCTGTCGCCAGCCCATCAGTGTACCTAATACCTGTCGCTAGCCCATCAGCATACCTGTCGCTAGCCTGTCAGTGTACCTGTGTCTAGCCCGTCAGCGTACCTGTCAACAGCCCATCAGCGTACCTGTCGCCAGCCCATCAGTGTACCTGATACCTGTCACCAGTCCATCAGCGTACCTGTCAACAGCCCGTCAGCGTACCTGTCGCCAGCCCATCAGCGTACCTGTCAACAGCCCGTCAGCGTACCTGTCGCCAGCCCATCAGTGTACCTGGTACCTGTCGCTACCCCATCAGCATACCTGTCGCTAGCCTGTCAGTGTACCTGTGTCTAGCCCGTCAGCGTACCTGTCAGCACAGTCCATCACGTACCTGTCAGCACAGCCTGTCACATACCTGTCAGCACAGCCTATCAGTGTACCTGTTGTGCAGCCTGTCAGTGTACCTGTCAATACAGCCCATCACATACCTACCAGCACAGCTCATCAGTGTACCTGTTGTGCAGCATATTAGCACAGCCCATCAGCATACCTGTCAGCCCACCCCATCAGTGTACCTGTCAGTACAACCCATCAGTGTACATGTCCAGCAGCCCATCAGTGTACCTGTCAGCACATCCATCAGGGAAGCCTATCAGTGTACCTGTCAGCACATACACCAGTGCAGCCTATCAGTGTACCTGTCATCAGTGCAGCCAAATCAGTGTGCCTATGACAGAGACGCCATCACTGCCACCCATCAGCAGTGTACCCATCACAGTTGCCTGTCATACCTGTCATACAGCCAAGATGTAAAAAAAATATTTCACTAGTGAGGAGGCTTTCAAAATCCTCAGCATGACGGAAGAGAGCAGTGGGGAGCTCTCACCGTCCGATTCCAGTTCAGAATACGAGCCAGTAGAAAGTAGTGGATTGGTGACCAAATCGGAAGAGGGAACAGTCCCTCCTAAAAGAGTAAGATACTCTGAGGAGCAGGCAACCACGAGCAGTGCCATTGTACCAGCGCCATTACACCCAAATGGTCAATCAGCAAACGCCACTGGAGCTAGACCCCAGGATGAAAGGCCCAGTACGTGCACTGGAATATCACGCCATACCCCAAGAGTCAGGGCCCAAACATACCTCCCAGATGCTCTGGCAAACCCTTTATGGCTGCCTTCCAGCTCAGGATCAGCTACATATCTCCCCATTTACTGCACAATCAGGTGTGCAGCCCAACACAGAAAATGTTTTTTTTTTTACATTTATTTTTCCCTGATAATTTCCTTCAATTTATTGTGGATCAAACTAACCTGTTTTCCCAACAATATATTGCAAACAACCCCAATTCATGCTATGCCCATCCATTTGAGTGGAGACGGCTAACAGTAGAGGAGTTTAAATAGTTTTTGGGCCTTACGATCAACATGGACTTACAAAAATAATTAATTACATTCATATTTGTCCACCCACCCATCCATCACATTCCCACCTTTTTAGATGCAATGTCCAGGTCACGTTATGACATGATAATGCGCTTCCTGCATTTCAGTGATAATTACAAGTGCCCTCCCTGAGATCAGCCTGGTTTTGGCAAATTCTATAAAATTCGCCCACTAATACATTTTTTTTCTAAAATATTTTCTGAACTTTATGTCCCTGACCAAAATATCTCTGTGGATGAATCTCTTGTCCACTTTACTGGCCAGCTGGGAATCAAGCAATACATTCCCAGTAAAAGAGTTAGGTATGGGCTGAAGCTCAGCAAGCTCTGTGAAAGTGCCACGGGATATGTGCATGCCTTCTGCGTGTATGAAGGCAAAGACCCCAGCTCCAGATCCCTGGGTGCCCAATCTACATTGGCAAAAGTGGACAAATTGTCTGGAACTTGGCCTTTCCACTTTTTCAAAAGGGGTATCACATCTACCTAGACAATTATTACACAAGCCGCCCCTTTTCCGCCAACTATACCTTGAGAAAACCATGGCCTGCGGTACCATCCAAACAAATAGGAAGGGCCACAAAATTTACTGAACACAAGGCTACAAAGGGGGGAATCTGCAAATCTGAGGAATGAAGAAGTGTTGGCCATGAAGTGGAGGGACAGGAGAGATGTTTATGCCCTGTCCACCATTCATAATGACACCATGGTGGAAATTCACAGTAGGCGAGGTCCCATCCGAAAGCCAGAGTGTATCTACAATTATAATCAACTCATGGGGGGTGGATTTAAACAATCAGCTGCTGCAGCCCTGTTTATCAACAAGGAAGTCCCTTTTCTGGTAAAAAAAAAGTTGCATTATACTTTTTCCACATGGCCATTTTTGATGCATACGTCACCTATCAAAAGTCAATGGTAAAACCTATCACGTTCCTCAAATTTACAGAAGATGCCGTCATTGCCCTAATCTATCAGCAAGGATCTCCACCACAAAGCATTCACTCCTATTGTGTCAGCAGACTTCATGAACACCATTTCCCTGAGAACATTCCACCATCAGAAACAGGAAGACGCCAAAAAAAATGTAGGGTATGCAACAGAGGAGAAGTTAGGAGAGACACCAGTTTTCATTGTCCCCAGTGTCCCTCCCAACCAGGACTATGCATCGGAGACTGCTTCTGACATTATTACATGTTAGCAAAATATTAGTTCCCCATATTTTTAACAGCCTACGATTTCCCTATTTTTGTTATCTTTGCAAATCTTTTGCCTGCTGCCTTGATTGACCATGCCTCTGCCTTCCACCTTAACTGACCCTGGCCTGTTTACCAACAATGCCTTTGCTTGCCATCTGAATTGTTTCTAAACCACATTTCTGCTTTCCACTGAAACTGATCCTGGCCTGTTTATCGACTATGCTTCTGCCTGAAGATTTTAGATTATCAACCACGTTTATGCCTTTTTCCTGGACCGATCTTGGCCTGTTAAATTGACAATGTTTTTTGACTGCCGCTTGGATTTATCTTTTGCCCTGCTACTGCTGTAGAGGGATTCAAGTTAACACAGGGGTCTCACATATGTGAGGGGCTTCAGAATAGAGAAAAAACAGTTTTTGGTTTTCTCCGGTTTTGTAATTCGCGGAACAGGGTCTGTTTGTCCGGAGGCTTCGAAGAGATTGGGTGGGACTGATGTTCCTGATGTTCCTGCCTGCTGCCTGGACCAATAATTTGGCTGTGCTGATCATATCTCTGCGTGCTGCCTGTATTGACCCAGGTCTTTTTATGGACCATGTTCCTGCCTGTTGCCTGGACTAATACTTTGGCTGTGCTGACCATATCTCTTCTTGCTACCTGTACTGACCCAAGACTTTTTGGACCATGTTCCTGCCTGCTGCCTGCACCAATACTTTGCTGTGCTGACCATATCTCTGCCTGCTGCCTGTACTGACCCAGGACTTTTCTGGACCATGTTCCTGCCTGTTGCCTGGACAAATACTTTGGCTGTGCTGCTGACCATATCTCCTCTTGTTACCTGTACAGACCCAAGACTTTTTCGGACCATGTTCCTGCCTGCTGCCTGGACCAATACCTTGGCTGTGGTGACCATATCTCTGCCTGCTGCCTCTGGACTTTTATGGGCCATGTTTCTGCTTGCTGCCTGGATGTCAGCCTACTGTCTTTTCTGACCCTGGCTTGTTTATCTACCATATTCCTGCCTGCTACCTGGGCGATTCCTGTGGCTGTTGTCTGCTTTCTGGTCCAATGTTCTTCTCTGCGGACAACTGCTCTACTAAAACCACAGGTAATCTTTTGTTTAGGCTGTGTGTAAAAAATACTTTTTCATTTTCTTTCCACATTTTCTAAAAACTTATGGAAAAAAATGTTCAAAAGGCTAATTATGCCTCATAGAATATACATTGGAGTATATTAAATGTGGTCATTTTATTTGTGTTTCCATTGTCCTGGTGCCTTCAAAACTATGATACAGTAGGTCAGGGGTGGCGAACACACGGCTCTCGAGCCGCGTGCGGCTCCCGGCCAAAATGAATGCGGCTCTTTGCCTCTTATCATATTTTGTATACTGTGGCTCTTTGCCAAGTTTCATGTTTCTCTTATTTTTACCTGTTCCTCTATCCAGCGGCGCGCTGTCTTCCGGCTTCTGTAGTGTGGGCACTGGGCATGACAGCCGGGTGCCAAGTGCGCATGCGCAAGAAGCGGTGCTTTTTGTGAATGGTAAGGCGGTACCTGGGACACATGACAGATCCCAGAAGCCGCCGGACCAATCACAAAGCGCAAGTGCTTCTCGCTCATGCACACTGGGCACCCGGCTGTCATGCCGAGCGCCATTACAGAAGCCGGGAAGACAGCGCACGGCTGGATCGAGGAACAGGTAAGATCAAACAAAAACTCTGCGGAAGTAAGAGCGGGTACCTGTCAAATTCAGGTACCCGCTCCCCATCTCCCCAAAGGTCAGCAGTCATCTGTACTGTCCACAGTCTCTGGTCATCCCTGTGCTGTCCGCAGTCTCTGGTCATCCCTGTGCTGCCCGCAGTCTCTGGTCATCCCTGTGCTGTCCGCAGTCTCTGGTCATCCCTGTGCTGTCCGCAGTCTCTGGTCATCTCCTGTACTGTGTCTGCAGTCCATTAGTTCAGAATTTTTTTTTGTATACTTGTGTGTTAGAGTGAGAGAGAGAAGGGAGAGAGAGAGAGGTGCCACAGCAGGGTAGTTGATGTGTTAACTCTGGCTAAGTTGCATTTGATGTGTGTGTTGAGGGTGGACACTTACCTTGAAATGAACACATTGTTGTTTTGTAAGGGGAAGAAAGTGTTATGGTGAATAATATGGTTTTAATTATGTGTTTTTGTGTGAGTGTTTGTCTGTTTTGGCAGGTGACTGCGTTGTGTGGCTCTCTGACTTTCACAGTTTAAAATATTGGCTCTTTGTGTCTAACTTGTTTGCCACCCCTGCAGTAGGTAGTCAAGAAATTAGATGTGTAATTTATGCCCCTTTTATGCTCCTAGAAAGCATGAAGGAGCTACATGGACGTTGGGTGTCCGTATGTGGCCAGGATGTGGAAAAGTCTCACATGTGTGCTATCATCATACTCAGAAGGAGTAGCAGAATGCATTTTGGGGCATAATTCTTGGTATGTACATGCTGTGTGTTAGAAATATCTTATAAATTGACAACTTTGTGTGAAAAAAAGTTTTTATTTTTCTTTCCACAATTTCTAAAAACGTTTGAAAAAAAATTATGTGTTCAAAAGACTCATTATGCTTGATAGAATATACCTTGGGATGTTTGCGTTAAAAAATGGGGTAATTCTGTGGGTGTTTCCACCGTCCTGGTGCTCCAGGGCCTTCAAAACTGTGATAGGTAGTCAGGAAATTAAATGTGTGTAATGTATGCCCCTTTTATGCTCCTGGAACGCGTGAAGGTGCTACTTGGATGTTGGGTCTCTGTATGTGGCCAGGTTGTGGAAATGTCTCACACGTGTGCTATCACCATACTCAGAAGGAGTAGCAGAATGCATTGTGGGGCATAATTCTCGGTATGTACATGCTGTGTGTTAGAAATATCTTATAAATTGACAACTTTGTGTGAAAAAAGTTTTCATTTTTCTTTCCACATTTTCTAAAAACGTTTGAAAAAAAATTATGTGTTCAAAAGACTCATTATGCCTGATAGAATATACCTTGGGATGTTTGCATTCCAAAATGGGGTCATTCTGTAGGTGTTTCCACCGTCCTGGTGCTCCAGGGCCTTCAAAACTGTGATAGGTAGTCAGGAAATTAAATGTGTGTAATTTATGCCCCTTTTATGCTTATGGAACGCGTGAAGGTGCTACTTGGATGTTGGGTCTCTGTATGTGGCCAGGTTGTGGAAATGTCTGTGAAAAAAAAAAATAATTTCTTCATTTTCCAAAGAATTGTGGGAAAAAATTACAACTTCAAAAAACTCATCATGTCTTTTACTAAATACTTTGGACTGTCTACGTTCCAAAAAGGGGTCTTTTGGGGGCTATTTGTACTTTCATAGCATGCTAGTACCTCAATAAATGAAGTAGCCCCTTAGTGCTTCAGGTGTAATCAGGTGTGATCAATTTACAATGACTGGTGCCATAGCTTGCACACTCTATAACTTTCACACATGCTAAATAATATACACTGATTTGGGTTATTTTTACCACATAAATATAGCAGTATAGTTTTTTGCCTAAATTTATGAAGAAAAATTACTTATTTGCAAAACTTTATAATAGAAACAAAGAAAACCTTTTTTTTTAATTTTCGGTCTTTTTTCATTTATAGTGCAAAAAAAAAAACCCAGTGGTGATTACCTATCACCAAAGGAAAGCTCTATTTGTGTGAAAAAAGTTATAAGAAATGTTATATGGGTACAGTGTTGCATGACTGTGCAATTGTCATTCAAAGTGTGACAGCACTGAAAGCTGAAAATTGGCCTGGGCAGGAAGGGGGTAAAAGTGCCCAATATGGAAGTGGTTAACTTTTGAAGACACGGACTCTAATTAAAATATCAGAAGCACAGAGTATTTGGACAAAAAAAAATAGCTGAATTTCTGAAGCCAACTAATCCAGCAAAGTAGAACAAAAGAAGCAAACTTGTACTGCTGTACTAATCCTATGTGTGCTTTTTTTATTCTTTTTTTTTCTTTTTATGCATTTTTTGCAAATTATAGTTTCCCAGTTTTCAAGAGAATGCAGAAATACAGTTTTAAAAAAAGAACTGTAAAGCAGGAACAAATAGAACTGGTGAACTTTACCCCTGAGCAAGCTTTTATCAATGGGTTTAAAGGTTGAAATAAAAAAAGGGTAAAACAAGCAAACCAATGCTTTTAAAAATTGCTATAAAATGGCCTCTGTGTATTAGTTCATTCTTATAATAAAATATACAATAAAGTGCAAAATCTAAAAGTGCTAAGAGACAATTACTATATGGCAAATTTCTGAAATAGTGAATTTAGGCTTAGCTCTCTTACCCCTGGTTCAAATATATGAATCCGTGTGGGCAGCGTTTTGCGCGGGCACGAGAGCCAATTCATTTGAATGGACTCCCATGCCCCAGGACATGCAGGGAAGAAGTCCCTGCACTTCTTTGGAAACCACAGCCCGCACTGGAACCTTGGTTCCCAGTGCAGTTGCGATTTCCAGTGCGGACGGCGTGCCATTAGAATAAATGGCACCCGCCTGCGGGTCCGCAATCCTCCGTGCGGGTGGTGCGGCTGCACGGATTTTTGTGCAGATCCGCAGCGGCACCACCTGCACATATGTGAGCCTAACCTTAAACTCAGTGGAGTTGATTTACTAAAACTGGAGAATGCAAAATCTGGTGCAGCTGTGCATAAAAAACAGTCAGCTTTCAGGTTATTTTGTCAAAGCTTGAACAAGCTGAAGTTAGAAGTTGATTGGCTACCATGCACAGCTGCACCAGATTTTGCACTTTCCAGTTATAATAAATCAACTCCAGTGTGTGAGAGTTATACAATCGCGAAGATGATGGGGTAATAGAAACGCCTGAATAAGTAAGGGGACTTTGTTGAGGGGATTCATCATTTGCAGTATTTAGCACAGGGAAAATTGGTCATTCCAGACATTGTTCAGAAGAACAGAATATCTTGATTAAAAAGTTGATTGGAGAGGGGAAAACATATAAAGAAGTGCAGAAAATGATAGGCTGCTCAGCTAAAATGATCGCAAATGCTTTAAAATGGCAACCAAAACCTGAAAGACGTGGAAGAAAGCAAAAAACTACCATTCGAATGGATAGAAGAATAGCCAAAATGGCAAGGACTCAGCCAACAATCAGCTCCAGGAAGATCAAAGAAGGTCTAAAGTTCCCTGTGAGTACGGTTACAATTAGAAGATGCCTATGTGAAGCCAAGCTATCTGCAAGAAACCCCCGAAAGGTCCTACTGTTGAAAAAAAGACGTGCTGAAGAGGTTACAATTTGCCAAAGAGCACATTGACTGGTCTAAAGAGAAATGGCGCAACATTTTCTGGGCTGATGAAAGTAAGATTGTTCTTTTTGGGTCTAGTGGCCAGAGACAGTTTGTCAGACGACACCCAAACACTGAATTCAAGCCACAGTACACTGTAAAGACAGTGAAGCATGGTTGCGCAAGCATCATGATATGGGGATGTTTCTCATACTATGGTGTTGGGCCTATTTATTGCATACCAGGGATCATGGATCAGTCTGAATACATCAGAATACTTGAAGAGGCCATGCTGCCTTATGCCGAAGAGGAAATGCCCTTGAAACAAGACAACGACCCCAAACATACCAGTAAACATGCAACATCTTGGTTCCAGATCAACAAGATTGAAGTTATGGAGTGGCCAGCCCAATCCCCAGATCTTAATCCAATAGAAAACTTGTGGGGTAACATCAAAAATGCAGTTTCTGAGGCAAAACCAAGAAATAGAGAACTGTGGAATGTAGTCCAATCATCCTGGGCTGAAATACCTGTTCACAGGTGCCAGAAGTTGGTTGACTCCATGCAACACAGATGTACAGCAGTTCTCAGAAACAGTGCTTATACAACTAAATATTAATTAAGTGATTCAAAGGAAAGCAAAATCTTCAAACATTTTTCAGTTTATATAGTAAATGTTTGAGTTTGTAAAGAAGAATACAAACACACTGCTATTTTTTTGAACAGTCTAATATTCACTTTTCTTCAGTTTTTTAGAGGAACAACACAAATTTGATATATTTTTCTTCATGTTTTGATTTGGAATAGAATGTGTAGTGTTCCCAATGCATTTGTGTGTATGGAAATAAAAGCTATCCAAAGGATTTTGAGCTTTATTCACTTTTTTCAACACACTGCTATTATTTTGAACACTATTTTGAATATTTTTTTATATATATATATAATTTGTATTTATTTATTTTTTAAAGCAAACATTGTACATACCTAAATTTGACCTGGTATCAGCCTTTTGCAGTCTCTATAATTTTATCACTTTACAAGACTCTGGTTCGGCCACACCTTGAATATGCCATCCATGTCAGAAAGGATGTTCTGGAACTAGGGAGAGTCCAGAGAAGGGCGACAAAGCTAATAATGGGACTGAAGTCACAAGGAATGACTATAAGCATTAAACTTATTCTCCCTGGAGAAGAGACGCTTGAGAAGAGATAAGATAGCGATATACAAATAGTTCAAACAGCAACTACCTCAATCTATGACTGGCCTTTGCAGCAAGGAGCACAGAGAAGGGTGACACATGTCAAACAACAACAAAGAAAAATTCCCAGCTCAATTTACCGACCAACCTGCAACCAACTGAATTGTCCTGTCTAATAAATTGTGTTAAAAGCAGGGATTTAGTTTGAACACATTTGAAAATACATGCGCAAGCTGTAGAGCCTCTTTACGGCACCCCAATGTTATCTGAGGTCCCAACTCTATAAATTCTGAGAGCCTCCATAGTAGAAGCACATGCATAATAAAGAATAGACTGAAGGCAGGTAAGCCTGGAGAGAGCCCATTCCCTCCTTAAAGGCCCAGGGGCACCCTGGACACCCAACACATATCACAATGGCATCTAAGGTGTCCAGTGTGCCCCTCACCAGTATACCAACAGTACACACAAAGGGCAACTGCCCAAATCT